GGGGGTTCTCATCAGTAGGCCTATCTTGAATGCTACTTTGTGAAATTGCCTGGCGATATAAATAAGGTACAGTGGAACCTGCTCTGACAGCCACCTGTATAACTTACTACAAGATCGTTACCTGTGCAAACAGCCACCTGTATAACTTGGTACAAGATCGTTACCTGTGCAAACAGCCAGCTGTATAACTTGGTACAAGATCGTTACCTGTGCAAACAGCCAGCTGTATAACTTGGTACAAGACCGTTACCTGTGCAAACAGCCACCTGTATAACTTGGTACAAGACCGTTACCTGTGCAAACAGCCAGCTGTATAACTTGGTACAAGACCGTTACCCGTGCAAACAGCCACCTGTATAACTTGGTACAAGACCGTTACCTGTGCAAACAGCCAGCTGTATAACTTGGTACAAGACCGTTACCCGTGCAAACAGCCACCTGTATTACATAAGTTAGTACAAGGCCGCTACCTGTGCAAACAGCCTCTTCCCATTTCCCCCTTGCGGTTTTTTGGGTTTTTTTTCGTTATAATGGCGCTGTGTAAGATGGACACTTTTCTCCGCGACAATGGGTGGCCGTCTCAGACAATTTCTATTGTATTTTGTTTTCTTGGCCTTTGGTAATATTGAACTTTTTTTTCCTTCTTGTCTGGCAGGTCATTGTTTGCTCCAGTCTGTACAAGTTGTCGCCCCTGTTCCACAGCACGCCGCAGCATGTAAGTGTCTGGGATGTCAGGATTCTTGAAACACTCGGATACTGTGTGACCGTGTGCTTAGAAATGTTTGTTCAACTGTAGTGTGTTGTCATGTTCATTTCAGTTCTGTTGTACAGAATGTTTTGGGTTTTTTTTTTCCCCTGTCTGTGTCTTTATAACCATCAAAATTACTCTCTCAGTGCAGATAATGCACCTATTGAAAGAGCACATCCCTTATGTCAGCCTGATTTGAGAGTCGTATGGGGGGGGGAAATTTGAGGGGGGGGGGTTGTTACACTTTTCCAAGATGAGCTGCAGAAATCAAACTGAACAGTTGTTATAGCACTGGCTTGCTTCATTGTTTCTTTTGCTACAGGATTGTTCCCATAGTTTTTAAGTTATTGCATAGGCAGTGGGGCATCTCATAGCAGCTGAAACAATGAGACAATGCAATATTAATGAAACAATGGAGCACTAAACCACATGCTCCTGGTCATAGAGGCATCGTTATATAGTTTTCTACTTTTCAGAAACTTGTAACCCGCCGGGGCAGTGCCACTGACTGTAGTGTCTTTAGGCCATTCCCAAAGGGGGGACATTTCTCGTTCAAGTGCAGTAGAATTGTAAATGGGCTAATTCATGTCACGCTCATAACTGTGTCTGATCTACAGCAGGGAACTGCTGCTTTTTCTTTCCTAATCCTTACTATTGTCATTTTCCTCTACTTCTTTTGTATGTTTGTCACTCCCTTGTGACCTGCTATTTTGGGGTGCCTTGATAGTCGAAGCAGACCTTGTGCTGTTGAAGTTGAAGCTAGAGAGGTGAGCAGAGTAAGTCTGATTCCCTGTAAAGACTGCTCTGTTGACATCCACCCCTTGGCACTCATATGACCTTATGCAGTTTCGAGCGCCGTAAAACCTCTACTATAAGAAAAGAAAAAGAAACTTGTAGAAACTTTTTCCTTCTGTAATACTTTTAAATCATTAGGAGAGTATGAAGAGGAAACCGTGTTCACTTTTTGTACCTACCCGTGTTCTATTGTGCCTTCACTTCACTAGAAGCAGATTTTGTGCAATGTAAGGTGTGCGTTTTATATGTGCTGAAAATTACTGTAGAAACGATTTTGGTTTTTACATTGAATTTGATTTTAACATCAAATTGGGCACCCTACTTTTTTCATTTGCATAAAATTTTCATCTTGAATGATGCTGTCTAAATAGTAACATTATATTGTTGAATGTCTCAAAATGCCAGTGTTAAGAGGATGTGCTTGAAAAGAAAGTTGTTTCAAGTGAATTAAAAAAATAGAAGGTTTTGTGTCCCATTTTTATCTTTTCTCCTCTCCGGAAAATGTTGATATATATGTAAGCTGTGTATGGTGTAGTCTCAGTTGATTTTGCACACCAAATCATCGATAAGTTGACAGCAATTACTTTACTTTGTTAGAGAACGCTGTTGTTTATCTCTTAAAATCATAGATAAGTTGACAGTAATTGCTTTACTTTGTTAGAGAACGGTGTTGTTTATTTCTTGTCTTGTAGAAAGGCTTCCTTAAACACCCTTGGTAGTTGGAGGGTGCCGCTGGTAAGTCCCACCTCTTTTCTTTCTCTCTGTCGTTTCAGTCTGTCGGTCTTACTTTCCCCCCATCACATAAAGTTACCGCTAGAATTTCTCTTTGCTCCAACAGATAAACATACGTATTCACCTGGTCCTAGACTCTCACCTGGTCCTAGACTCTCACCTGGTCCTAGACTCTCACCTGGTCCTAGACTCTCACCTGGTCCCAGACTCAAGGACACTTGCTGCTTTATTTCGTCGGGAGTGGTAAACCTTGCCGCTTATCATTACACGTGTGTGATTTTCTTTCCAGGCCTCCTTCAACAAATTTTCAAGTCCTAACGAACTGTTGGATTATGAAGATGCTGAACTGTTGTCCAAGGTGGAAGTGATAGCTCCCATCTTTGATTATGTGCCTCCAGACCTGGTCTCCATGGTTGTCACAAACAAGTAAGATTTTTCTCTATGGTTGTCACAAACAAGTAAGATTTTTCTCTGTGGTTGTTACAAACAAGTAAGATTTTTCTCTATGGTTGTTACAAACAAGTAAGATTTTTCTCTGTGGTTGTTACAAACAAGTAAGATTTTTCTCTATGGTTGTTACAAACAAGTAAGATTTTTCTCTATGGTTGTTACAAACAAGTAAGATTTTTCTCTATGGTTGTTACAAACAAGTAAGATTTTTCTCTATGGTTGTTACAAACAAGTAAGATTTTTCTCTATGGTTGTTACAAACAAGTAAGATTTTTCTCTGTGGTTGTTACAAACAAGTAAGATTTTTCTCTATGGTTGTTACAAACAAGTAAGATTTTTCTCTGTGGTTGTTACAAACAAGTAAGATTTTTCTCTATGGTTGTTACAAACAAGTAAGATTTTTCTCTGTGGTTGTTACAAACAAGTAAGGTTTTATTCTGCAGGTTTTTTTGTAACAAATGTGTTGGGGTGACTGTCAAGCCTGAGTTGTCCCCTGTGTAACTGTTGTACTACAACTGTTTCTGTCCTGCTCTGAGGACATGCATCCAGCCTATCATTATGAATGTAGTCAGCTACGTTGTGAAAGGGTTTCCAGATGTAGTTGACACACAATCAGTGTTAGGGAGCTCACTATCTTGTGCACATGAGAACTCATCTGGACAGGAATTTGTATCTATAAAAATTTCAGCCTCTCAGATATAGGAGGGCATAGTATGTTTCACTTTCATCTCTTGAAAGAAAATCAAAAGTACAAAATCGTGTCAATATTTAGAGTAACTGGATTGTGACTTGTACATTTTTTTTTTTTTCGTTTTCACTTTTCAGCTTGCAGTTTGAAGAAAATGTTTTATTTAGTTATTTATGTTTTATTTAGTTATTTATGTTTTATTTAGTTATTATGATGGCTTGATATCTGCTTCTGTTGTTGCTATCTACATTCTGTGAGGACAAAGAGATTTTAGATTAATTAATGTTGCTTTATGTGTAATGAACCCACAGTGATTTCTGTTACAAAGTCTAGACAATGACCCCAAACTGTTGTCTGTTTCAGCGGTGCGCAATCAGTGACCTATGTGTATCGGCTGGTGAAGGATTTCTATCATGCAGACGACGTCGACCTCTGATACTCCTTGTTCTGGGTCCAATGGTTATTGTAACTGTGTTGAATCTAATGTGGAGTCGAGCCAGCAAGATGTAGCAATGAAAAAGTAGGAAAAAGAGACTACCTCAAGTGTAAGAATCTCTTTCATCGGTAGAAAAACCACTGAGGCGTAACTGCTTAGATGATGTTATCGTACTTGATATCTAAGAACTCGACAGTACTGTGTTTCAACGAAAGATATTCTATCATTGCCTGTTGATGCACTAATGTATCGCTGATGAGCAAGATTAGACACAGTGTATTCAGCTTTCTTTTTTTGTTTTGCATTAATCGTAAAGCTAGTATAGTATTAGTATAGGCAATTGATGGGGGGTTTGGGGGGGGGGGGTGTAGAATCACTTGTCATGGATCAGTCATTCTAAGGTTTCAGTCTTTGTGAATCTAAACATTCATTTTGTGGTTCTTTTTTATTTTTCGATGTCTCTTGCCTGCTAATGAAGGGAACCATACTATGGTTCCACTACGTATAGAAAGTTTTCAGGATAGATACTGATAGATTATGATGTGATATCTAAATTTTATTTCTAAACATCCAATGTTATTCTGAAATATAAAAAAAATAAAGGATGTAAAGAAAGGCAAACTCCTTTTAGAAATATTGCGCTCTCCACATGGACTACAACGTTGGTTTTTGTCAATTGCTTGGTTTTGTCTTTTCATGATACTCTATTTGTATCCCTTTAGTGTCATTGTTTGTACTTTGGTCGCCATATAAGGGTATGGTGTATCGTCAGCATCCTTCCACAGGCACAGAAGTTATTTTGGAAGTTTTGATAAAATTACAGAAAAAGACCCCTACTTAAAACTATGACTTGAGCACTTGTTATTTTTTCAATTTCAACTTGGTGAAAATCGTTGAACGGAACGACCCTGTATTGTCAGATGCCCCCGTTGATGTCTGTATTTGGATCACGGCTTTACCTGGATACCCGTAGAAACTGGTTGGGAAATTGTGGAATGACGCTGATGATATAGTGGAATGGAATGCATAGTTTTTGTGTGGAACTCTTTCAATTGTTGATGTACAGGACACGGCACACTCAGCTGTAGATATGAAAGCTCTAGTTTACCATGTTAACAATTTCTTCACTGGTTCATTTTGTACTTTCAAATGGTACATACTTCTTGTGCTGTGAGTCTGGATGACTGCAAGTGTCATGAAAATGTTTAAAATAAAAATGAGCTCCAAAGGATCAGGGCTGTCTCATGCAGGATTATTTCACGTCCTTTGTCATGGTCAAGGTTTGATTGAATGTGTTTGTGGCTGTCGTATCATCGTATCATCGGCGTCATTCTGCAAGCACCTAAGTCATTTTCAGAACCATGACCCGAGCAGAGCACTCGTGACGTCTTCACACGGTACACCCTAAGGGTCTGGACGGGAAGTCCATTGTTAGATCCTAAGCAAGGGGAAGGAACCCACCTCCCATGAATACAAGCCTTTAAAAAACACATTTTAAAAATACTAAACAAATTCCCAAAATCCTGAAAAAATAAAAGTTAAAAAGAAAACTGAATGTAGGTTCAGAAAAATATAACTTTATGTATGAGCAAATTGTTGGAAATGTTCTCACTTTAGTTCAATCGGGGTCGTCATAACAAAATACGTGTACTGCTTTGAAAATGCAGCACAGATGGTTGAGTGGTACATCTAACTAAAACCCGTAATTGCTTTACTGTTACATGTACAGTGGAACTCGGATTCAGCGAGGTGGCTGGGCCTGACCTAAAATCTCCTTGAATCCGAGTGTTCGTTATAGCAAACACGAGGTTTTGTGTAGATAATTACAGGCACTGAGCAAGTAATGTGTGAAGAGAAGTAAGAAGTAGAGCCTGAAATGCCTGCATATTATGATCTGTGTAAAAAAAAAAGACCCAGTCGTTCAAATGCACATCTGTGTCATCTCGATTGTTTGCCAAAAGGTTGTGTTGCTGTGTAGAGCCTAGCATACGGCAACTTTTGATTTCATAGACCAGCGCACAATTCATTACGTAGATCTACGTCAAGACTAGCTAATCATTGTAATAGTGATCAGTTGCCGAGGGGAAAATAGAGACTGTGACGTGTTTGTATCTGCGACGTTCAACGCCCGGACCGATAGTGCGCCCCCCCCCCTCCCCGACACGCACATACAGCCACACGTGTGCAGACCGTCCATCCGACCCCGACATACGCCAGAGTAGACACGTCTGCGTGCAAACAACGCATGTGTTGGTATGAAAAAAGGCCGCTGATTGGTCGCATGCAATTGGCTAAGTGAATAATAGTACACGATGCAGGTGCAATGGATGGTTTTCAGGAATAGATAAAGTTCGTTTAGGGAGAAAAATGAGTGAAGCAACGTCTGCAGGGCTGTTCACCCTGGAAGCGACCTCGTTGAATCCGAGCTCGCTGATTTAAGTGCTCGTTGAATCTGGGTTACTTTTATTGATTTTAAAGAAGAAAAAAAAGCGGGGAATCTATCTCATCTCGTTGAATCCGAGTTCTCGTTGAATCCGAGTTCCACTGTAGTTAATTATTTCTGTTGTTTGCCATGGCTTTTTCCCATCCAAAAATGTAGGTGGTTGTTAGGTGCTCTGCTCCTTCTTTCCTATCAAAGATCTATCGTCTTCATTTCTCCTCCTTCTTTTTTATGCTTACTTGTAACACCTTAACACCTCTTATCTTTCGCACTTGTATAATCTAAGTGTGTTGCAAGTGCTGTAATACCCTTACAAAAACACCCCTAAGTGACAACATTTTTTTATAAATGTATTTCTCAAGGTCTTAACAAACGAGCAAATACCAAGCGCTGGTTCAAGACTCTTCTCTCAAATGAAATAAGAGTGCCGAGGATGCTAAAGAGGTTTTTCTTAATGGTTTCTGTAAAAGTTACTCAACAGTGTTAAATGAAGAAATATTTTCTCTGCAAGAGACCACTGGACACCTAACTCACCCATCCCTAAACTATTGATGTTGATGGTTGGTCACAAATCCTTAGGAAGCAAGCCAGATGAACCAACTTTAATTTGAATACAATAACAAGTTCAGAGGAGAGTTATTCAAGTATATAAATATATATTTATTCAAACTTTCATAGCATTCACCATTTCACACAAGTAAAAACTCTACAAAAATCAAACAGTGAATTCAAAAACATATATGGTCACTTTTAAGGACAAGCGGGCTAACCCAGATTTTGGGGGTTTCCAGAAATCTTGACTTACACCAAAAGTAGGCATTGCCCTACCTATAGGAGAAGTTTGGTTTCATCAGTGTGTATATTTGCTTGGATATAGAGAAAACTCTCCTTGTCTTTTTAAAGAAACTGAACAAGGGGCAAAAACTTTACCTTCAATTTTCTCAAAACAGCATTTTTTGGGATAGCCCTCTTGTGCTCAAAAGCGACCATATTTAAAAATATATTTTTTTAAAACAACAAAATTTAAATTATAATTATTATGAACATTGGAAAACTGGACAGAATCATCAAAGGGGACGGCAGTTTTGAAGCTGTTAAAATAACAAGAAAGCACCTTACTCCTGTGAACATCCAGGATCTACTGAGCAGCAAAGAAAAGTACCCTAATGTTACAACATTCCTTTTCCAAACCCCATCTTAGGCAGAGAACATAGACAACTGTTAAACTTCAAGCTATAAAAAGCAAATGCAAGCAGGCAAGTACGACTACGAGGAATATTTCTCAGTGTCTTGTGTTCACGTGTCTCAACTAGACACTGTGAGGAATATTACTAGTGCTTTTGTGCATGTGCTAGCTTTTGAAAGCTGAAGGCATTCTGTATGTTCTCAGACTAAGAGTATTCTTTATTTGACTTACAACAGATTGAACAGCAGGAGAATCTCAATTAGCTTTGAAGTATAAGGATCACCTATTGTGCTATAGTATAGCGCCTGATTCTAGTCTACATCATAGAAGACAATGAAGAGAACATTTACGGTTTTTCTTCACGTTTTTTTATCTGCTAGATTGGTAGAGTCTACTAAACTACTTGTAGGCCTACTCTAAGGACAAAAAACCCACAGGCTCCACCAGCATGGTGGAAACTTTGAGGCATGTCAGAAATTGACAAATGGAGTACGGAGAAGGCCCTTTTCAAAACTACTGACACTAGAAAATTACAGATAGGCTATTTAAGAGGGATTCTGACAGCTGCTTGAAGAACAAGGTACACTATAGTCAAACAGGAAAATATACTTAAACATTATAACTAATCAGTCATTTTGAGTTCTAGTGGGGAACCGAGGATGATGAAGACAGAGTGTTGCTCCCCAGGGCAGACAGGTATGATTTATATTTCCACACTATATGAGTATAATGAAATACTATATATGAATATAGTATTATACTATATATGAATATATAGTATTATTATACTATATTCAAAGAAACATTTGGAAACACCAGTCACCACTTCGTTATGTATCTTTGAAGTTAAACGTCTAGTGAAATCTCTCCATCCTGTAGCTTATTTTGTTCTGTTATTTCCTTCTTGCATGCACTGACGTTAAATGGTAAGTAAATCAAAGATGTAACATTTACATTCACATGCTCCAAAAACAGGCTGGGTACTTTCTTTTGCTGCTGATAAAATAAAAAGTCTTGGAATGAATCTAGTACAATTCTGTAAATCACAATCTCTGCATTATCACAACCACAGGTACCATCACAAAGGAATACACAATATGTCCATATTACGTAACTGTACACATCTATACATGTGTCAATATAGGTAACACACTGAACCAAAAATTATACACAAATATATTTTTGAAAACTGAGCAAACATTGTCGAGTTAAAGCATCTTTTTTCCTCCTCCGATAACAATGACAGTTAAGTCAGTTTGCCACCTGGAAAAAGTACTGTTCAGAGTCAAACAGCATTTCCTGAGCCGAAAATTTCAGCAATTTGAACACTTCATGGTCACTTGCCGCAATGATGCGACGGTGAAAATGATCCGTTCCAGTCACTCGACGCAGGTCTGCGACAGCCCCAAGTAGTCAGCTGCAGTAGGCTTATTGATGATGCTGCACTACAGTATAGTGTCAAGCAATTGTATTTACTGATCACTATGATTCTGTGATACCAAAGTACAAAAGTTGTGTCAAGCAATTGTATTTACTGATCACTATGATTCTGTGATACCAAAGTACAAAAGTTGTGTCAAGCAATTGTATTTACTGATCACTATGATTCTTTGATACCAAACTACAAAAGTTGTGTCAAGCAATTGTATTTACTGATCACTATGATTCTGTGATACCAAACTACAAAAGTTGCAGAATCTTGACGTACAGCGGTATTATTTCTGGCAGTAATTTTCCTCACATTCACAAATAACCAATTTAGTAATAAGTGTATTAACGTATCAACTTGAAAGTTTTAGTAAGTTGATCAGTTAGGCACTGAATGTTTTCATCATTCTCAAAATACGAAACTGTCATATAGAAAATGTATTATGCATGCTAAAATCATATTTTCGTCATAAAGGTGTACAATTATTTTTTTAACAACACTAAAAAATAGTCTTTTATAGTAATTTATAGTAAAATATACAAAATCTGTTACGGTAAATACAGGTATTGTATAAATTTATATAATATACATGCAAATATATATTGTAAACAAATATACTTTAGCTGTTTACTCTTTTCATTGGCAATGATCTCTTACTTCTTTTGAACAAACTAATTTATTTGTTAACTTCAAATGGCCATGGTGTTCAAAAAGTGTAAATGCCAATAAAGTTTGTAATTTACGCTTTCTCTTAAAACTGTAGCACAGCACTGAATAGTGTCACAAACATACTGAGGATACTCAATCAGGATGAGCTCATGAGCAAAAGCAATACATCAGAATAGGGCATTAAAATCAATGTGAGACTCTGTGAGAGCACTGATCTGTTGATAGATATAATACGACAAAATGGAGAACATTTTGTAACGACCCCCATTGAGAGTCCAGTTCAGAAACACAAGTGGCCTACTACAACAATTTTTGCTTTACTTTCAAACACATTGAAAGAATTTCAAAGTCATCAAAGTTTAATGTCATCATAACCCTTACTTGTTTCATTTGTAAAAATCCTTCCAATTGGGTTTCTGCTTACATATTTTATTATTTATCTAATGAACTGAACACTTCAAAATGCATTTCTTTCTTCATGGAAATAAGTTATGCTGTTTAATGAAATTCATTTCTACCATTTGTAACTTGAATCACAATCTATTTCTGGCAATTTATTTAAAATACATAATATTTTTCTTTGCAGATAAAATGTTTGAAATAAATATACATTTCTGAAGGTAAGCTATTCATCCAGCAAATTCATTACCTGTTATCTGAGCTATATTTGCCTTATAAAGCAAGAGGTACGTCATAATCCAAGGCTGGAGTGGCAAATCAAAGTACAATGGACGGCAACTTCAGTGCTGTACAGAAATATACGTACATGCGGAATAAAAACACAGGCAAAAGAAAATGAACATGTAAAGTACATTAATTGAAAGTAATATATCTATTTGTCAAACTCTCTGAACACGAGGAAGGAAGTAAATATATAGACAAAATAACATTTTTCATGAACAGCGAAAAGCAATCTTTCTTTGAACACTTTTTGTACAAGTATACACAATAATAATAATCATAAATAACTTAATTTTGAGCATGAGAATATCAAAATTTGGGGGAGACTAAAAGTGCCTCATCTTGGCCTTCACAGACGAGCATGCTTAAATAAAAAGCAGAAAAATTCATAGATCACAACCTCAAATTGAACTACAGTTGTCCTTCAAATTAAGATTTGGTAATGGAAAGCCCAAAAAGTTGTAAAATGAACGGTCATTCATATTTTTGCCAATAATCAAAATTGGGTTGTTAATGTAACCCCAGCATCAACTGAACGTTTTAACTCCAGAGTGACCACTGTTGCAACTACTGCACAAGAGATGTGTAGAACATTTAGTGACCTTCACTTTCAGGTTTTGGACACAGTGGTTTAACTTTTTTTAAGTAGGTACAAACACATTTGATGAAAAAGACCTCTTACTAGCATATTTTTGGCACTCCGTTGGAACCTCGTCGACTCAAATGTTATAATTTTACAGGAAAGACAAAAAATAGTTAATGTTAACTCTAAAGCAGTCAACTTCTGTCAATGTATCGCGATGGGCCTCGGACAAAATCCTGCAAAGAAGTATTTTTACATTATTACAAAATCCGGGTTAGCGAGAAAACATCCTTCATGGTGGATAGCAAGGTTCCCACAAAATTTAAAGTGCGTTTTCAAGCATTTGCAGTTTGAATCTGGATTTAACATTTATACACCACTATGCTTCAAGATATCAGGAATCTCTTGGTGTAAAAAATAATTTTCGTTAAAATTCAACTTAGCAAGGTTCCATCAGAGCACCAATAATATATCATATATGTATATTTCTTTGTACAAACTTATGACACGCTTACTACATGTTTGACTTGATCCTTTCTAAGAACTGAAAATCCTCACAACTTTTAGCTCCCTTGCTTCTCAGAAAATACAAGCATACTCTTTTGGAAACAGTAATTGTTCAAAGACATTAAAACTAAACGATAAATACATCTATTTCATTTTACACACTATACAAAGTAACTGCTCGAAGCAAAGGCAAAATTATGAACACTTCATACAGTGCAATAATACACCAAAAAAAATTACATTTTTTTCTGAATTATGTGCTTAGACGAACCTTACAATCGAAGACTTAACATCACACGTTAGTTAACTTTTTACCGACATTTCATAATAGAGAAAATTCAGCAGTAAATTTGTGGATCAGACATGAATCAAAAGCACCATCAGCATGATATCTCAAGCTCCAGGGGAACACTTGGAGGTGAAAAAAAATAACATAAATTGCTTTTGTTAACTTTGAATTTTGCAAAGTCTGGAATGAAGCAACAATTTAGTGAGCTGTGATGATTATAATATGCTGAAGAAAGTCCAGTTTTTTATAAATTTCTGGAATTTAACACAAGAGCAAGGAATAGCCTTAAAAGCTCCATCACATTATGAGGATTTTGGTGAAAAAGCAAGGAAAAAGATAAACCCAAATGATAATTTCAATCAAATGAAGGGATGAGGAGCAAAACAACTAGCATTCAAGACTGAATTGCCATGCAAAAACCACTTTGAAATATAAAAATACAGCGTCATAATCGCTTGAACACATTCAAGTAAGTAAATTGATGCATAGTTATAAAATATAAATTGTAAGCTTGTTCTAAAAATAGTAAGAGTGTATGCAAGCATGAACAGTTTCTCTGCATGATTTTGCTGCCTCATTCAAAAGTTTCCAGCCCAAAGGGAAAAACTATTCAGTATACAAAAATGTGAATTCAAATAAAATACTTTTGCTCCACAAAATGATACTTTGAACAACAGTTTTAAAAAAGAAGCACATGATTTTTATGTTACAGGACACAATCATCTGCTAGCGAGTAGTCACCATGAGCATTTCAAAATGAAGGAAATTTCTGTTCTTTAGTTTGGAAAGTCCTCAAAACCATAGCTCATCTCGGTTTTCACAGTTTTAAATGAAACACAACATAAGACCAATTCTTGAACAAGACACTTGTCTATTGCATGTTCTGCCTCAATTCTCAATACATGTATGTTCTTCATTTGAACTTATGGAGAGTGGGAAAAACTAATGTAAAGTGCTTTGATGCAAGGACACAAAATCACAGCGCAGACAGGACTCCTACAACTAAATAAGGCTACCAGAACCATGAGATGCTTTAGTACCTGCACATGGAAACAAATAGTTTGTCAGTAACAGTCACATTGGAGCATCTTACTTCTTAATAAGAAATAAAGAATACAAGTACATACACATAGTTTGGAACTTGCTACAATTTACAAAACAAAATTTCCAACCACCTAGGGACTTGGGGTCTCTGTAACCATTCAGCAAAGACTTTCAACGTTGTGAAAGTTCTATGAGGGCCAGTGCTGATATGTAACGGTCCTTCTCTCGGTTCTTTGGTGTGACTCTATAGTAGATGGAGCTGGTGGACTCAGGCTTCGGGGGGGCTGGCTTTGAGTTGAGAATCTGGTAAGACTGTGGTGGGGGTGAGTGCACATGAGCTGGTGAGCTGTCGCCTGAGGGAGGCGAAGAAAGTCCCAGATAAGTAGCACCATCAGCTGGGGAGGCAGGCCGGAGCTCTTCGCTGTCATTTCCTTGTAAAACCATCTGGCTAGAGTAGATAAAATTCCCCAAAGCAGGAGAATTAGGACGGAGAGGAGGAGATGGTGGGACGGAGGAGGTGGAAGAAATGGATGAAACTCCAGATGAAGAGGAACCTGTCGACAAAGCTGAACACTGACGGGGCGGGCTCCATGTCATGTACGTGTCAGCTCGAGACTCGAGAGACAATCTAGATGATTTTATTGAAGAGAAAGTCGGGGATGGAGGAAGGCCCCCACTGGTCAACGATGGGACGGACGGTATTCTGGGTAGAGATAAGCTTCTCGTTGTTATCGCAGCAGACAGAAGTGTAGGGGAGGGTGATTTGCGCATGTTTCCCTCTTGCAGTGACTCTTTGCTCGGTGCTTTGGGACACATTCTGTCTTTGCACTGCTGAATGTACCTGAAAGTGAGGGAGATTTGGAAGTAAGTACAAATACAAAACATAATGCAAACTATACAGTCTAGCAAGCACATAGTGAAACACACACATAGAGAGCAGCTTTTCAGGTCTAACATTTATTTTTTCTTACAGGTTTTGAAAACACATGCATGGCCAAACTTGGGACATAATGAAAAGATTTCTGCTTCCCCTCAATTTTGCTCTGTGTGTGCTAGACTAGAAATTATCCCTAGAATAATACGTAATATGCACCTTGGAACTCCTATGAACTTGAACAGCCAGTTTAAATGGAAATTTAAGGCTGTCTTTTGTCTCAATTCTTTACATTCATTTTCCAGTACCGTATCTTTGAAGTTAAAGAAGTCGACCAAGACGACAAAAATAAAGGACGACAAAATAAAAGTTTAAAAATAAATTAACAATTACAACATTATCAATGAACATACCTTCATCACAGAGGTTTTTAAAAATGTTATAGGATATAATATAGGTCAGTGATAGGCAAAAAGCAAAAAATGATGGCCAATAGGACAAAGTGTGCTGACATTAACATTTTAACATTTTGAATCCTACTTTATTAAAGGGGGGGGGGGGGCAAAAGCTATCAACAATCAATCATGAACAACAACTTCAACAACAAATGATACACTGGGAAAGATAATATAAGTGCCTCATTACAGAACAAACCAATCGCAAATGAAATACACACACTTTCCTAAATGACCATTGTGTACAACAGCATTTCATGATACAATTACAATAACAAGCCGGGGGGGGGGGTGAAATAAAAATATCTTACTTGTTAAGCCATCTCTTTATCTCAGCATTTGTTTCTTCTTCATGTCTCTTTGCCACCTGGGCCAAGTCTAGATCCAGTCGTATGAGACCTGCGTGTGGATGTTCACTGCAGTGGCGATTGGAATGAGTGAAACGCACACTACAACCTGATAAAAACAACAATAAGCATCAGAGTCATTTTGTTACATTTTCCAAAATCAATTTATGTCCCTTTGATTTGCACAAGTTTAAGAAAAGACAAACACAACATAATAGACAAAAGGCCTCAGTTTCAAATCTATCAATAATCTCGTGTCCACTAAAACAAAAATGTCTTTACTGTTCTCCTCACGAAACAAACCAGTAAAAAGAGATTTTGGTGAAGAAACATCCAAGTAAAGATTTCACGTTAAAAGTCCATTAAACTGTTTTTAATTTGACAGAATACTTCGGCTGGTTCTCAGTGGATTCTGAATTAGTCCGTATCGATATTTCAGCTGAACACTGAACAATCCTTCCAGAATCAATTACATAAAATACATATAACATATCTATAACTTAGCCTATAAGGTCTATAATACAGACAAAATTTATGCTATAGATTTTGAATGCATTCTATTATATTAAATGTACGTATAAATATATGTAAAGTCAAAACTGTTTGCTCTGTACCTTCCTCGGCACAGACAAATGGCCTCTCTCCTGTGTGAAGTCGCTGGTGGGTCTTGAGCTGACCGCTCTGACAAAATGCCTTAGAGCAGCCTGGGAAGTCACAGTTGTACGGGCGTTCACCTTTACAGAAAAATAGTTGAATGTGTGTGATATGTTAATATTACAGCTTTAAAACTACTTGTAACTTAATTATAATAAAGTCAAACATGAATCATGTACGTTCGATACACATGTATTGCACATATTTTATGAATATTTTAAAGTCCCAATTTAAGATATTCATGGGGATGAAAAAAGCAGAACCGCTATTTTCTCATAACACATAGATATCTAGATCTACCATACTTTCAATGAGAAACTCAAGCCAAGTGAGGGCTTATAGTATGGTGTGCGATATTATGTGGGGATCCGTTTATGCCATTGAAAAATTAGTAGCACAGTCTTAGCTTTTTATAGCACTGAAACTTTTAAAAATATTTCGTTTCATTTACATTTTCAAGAAAACCAAGGTTGCAAATGATTATACGCAGTCAATTGAGGGAATGGGTTAATCAAAGAAATGCTTAATTAAACTGACATGTCCACTTTCCAACAAAAGCCCATCTATCCACACTCAGCCTCTTATCGTACAATGATGCTGACAGCCCCCCCCCCCCCCCCAAATAAAAAAAAGCGCTGGAACTGGTGAAAAAAATTCTGTAGCAAACTATATATATAATGTATCTTGCACGCAATTGCGTGCGTAGGCCTACGGGGTGACCACTATGGATGGAATCGGATCGGGCCGATTGCCCGACTCGATCGCCTCAAAAACAAACGTGTTTTCAGTTTCAGGCGATCGAGTCGGGCGATCGGCCCGATCCAGCCGTAGTGGCCACCCCGTATCCTAATAGCAAAATTTGAATTTCTGAGCACGCAATAGCGTGAGTGTAGACTCAGCCATCTCAGAAGGCTAGTTAGTAGTGGTAGTAGCTAGTTGGCCTAGCTCTTTTATAACTCAAGAATTAGCACCTGTGCCACACATCATTTGCATTGCGCCCTGGAATTGTCCAAGTCAGTACAGAGTACAGGTTGAACTTGATGCTTTTGCCTACTATTGATGTGTTATACGGGGTGGCCACTACGGCTGGATCGGGCCGATCGCCCGACTCGATCGCCTGAAACTGAAAACACGTTTGTTTTTGAGGCGATCGAGTCGGGCGATCGACCGATCCCTGCCGTAGTGGGCACATCGTAGTTCTACCTGTAAACATCGGTGGACCCACATCAGATTTAGCTCTAGCAGCCTATGAGTATGATGTGAAACCAATGTGCACACTGTGCAACAAAAATGCTTCGGGTTGAGCCATTCAGTCGCGACTGCACACTGAAAGTGCTCGCTCTCCACTCACTCGTTACTCATCTACTTCTCTCCTGTCTCTATGCTTGGCCAAGACATAGGCATATTCACTATTCAGAACTTGTTGAACTGAACCAGAGCTGACTGAACTTAGTGAACTAAGAACAAGGCTAGGCCAGCCTAGATCTCTTCTCTTCACTGGACCTCGACCTCGGCCAACAGCCAACAACATCAGACTGGGGCTGTCACGTGGTTTTGTTTACATTGTAACCTTGAGGGAATCCCCCACCTCAACAATCGGTTGATTCCGGTGAGAATTATTATAATTCGACAAGTATTTCATCAGTTCCCAGGATTGATGACAATGTCAATATTATTGATCTGTTAATTATGGGTTTGAGGAATATTTGGACCAATCGATAGAATAGGTGTTTCTGGAGAAGTTGCCTATTTCCCGCCAGTTTTCTTTCTACTTTTTGTCTCGCGGAGGATCAACGTGCGATGCGGTTCAGGCTGCCCTTTTCTCCGAAGGACGAAACTGCGGGGTCAGGGGGCGTGGTTTCGTGACCCGAGCCATGCATAATCGACCTGTTCGATTGATTGGCCCAAACGGGCCTCTGCGTGTTCAGTCTCGATCAATACACGAACTGCGAGTGGCTGGGCAGAAGCAATAGTTTTATGCCCCACTTTTTTTCTGTTGTAAGCTAGGCTAGCCGATCAGCAATGACGGGGGGTCGTTTCTAGTCGCCGCACGATAGCGAACAGAGGCAGGTTGGAACAAGTTCGTGAATTGGCATTTATTATTAAAGACCTTTATCTCACTCCACTATACTACTTCTGTTATCGCAAGATCACTTGATATGGCTTTTATCAATTAAGTGTGAACGAAATGATTTAAATTGTAGTATTTAATAATACTGCAAAACCAGACCAACATACGTAGTGTTATGACTGATCACAAATGACAAACATCAGTTAAACCAAAGATCGTGTAGTAGAGAATCTTTGGTTAAACGTTGTTATTGCTTTGGATTTTGTTTTTTAATGTTTTCTTTTTAAATAGTTCATCACGATAAGTGAAACAAGACTGAGATAGATCGAGCCTATGTGCATGTGGAACAGTTTAAAACAATGAATGTATTTTTATAGTCCCTGTTTTTCCATGAATTTTATCAATGGATAGCCTTGTACAAGCTATAGCGGCTTTAGATGATACGTACAAAAATACTCTTACACACACACACACACACACACACACACACACACACACACACACACACTCACACACACACACAAACAAACATCATATTGCAATTTTGACTGTTGTGGACTTCTTAACCTAAAAATTCATAGGCCTACCCCCTTTAAAATTTCTGGAACAAATTTGTCGAAAATATTGATTTCCCAAGCATTTAACGAAGCCGCCCTTCTCTTCTCACGCCCACGTACGCACGCACATACACACGCAAATACACAAACACGCACGCACACACACACACACACACACACACACACACACACACACACACACACACACATATAATGAGAGAGATATAGAGAGAGGGGGGGGGCATACATACAAAAACTCTCTTACACACACACACACACACACACGCACACACACACACAAACAAACACAAATACATACACAATATCGTTATTTTTAATGTATCAATACGAGAAGTGGGGTGCACAAGTCTGAGATTAATCAGAAAAAAAGCGTAGTTTGTTGGGTGTTTTCCTTGATTTTTTCTAAGTCCTTTGAAAATGATCATAACATTCTTAGTCAGGGTACTAGCATTTTGATTTCACTATTGGTGTCGTTGTTGTTGCAACTGCCACTATATATAGTAAAGGTGTAGATCTAGTAACGATCCCGTTCCATAAAGAACTTTTGTCTGTAAGCCTTCACGCTTGACTCCGCCAAGCCATGCAATCTATTCTGCGCGTCTGCCTCACCGCGGGGGTAAAAAAAAACCCACAGGCACGTGGTTTGGCTGAGCAGCGGATACATTTAAACGTCTTTGTACGCACTGACTGTGTGTTTGGGGGGTTGCCTGGCAACAGTATTTGTGCCGGCGCTCCCCACGCTGAGGTCTTAACGTGCTGTGGGTTATTCTACACAGGTTGGGGAAAGATCGAGTGCGGTCATGTCTGACATTAAAGTAACATGGGTGTGTTAAACCGAGGGTGCTACCCAGTCGTGTTTGGCATTAATTAAAGTAACCAAAGAGTAGGACATCGAGGTCGCTCACTTTTTAAAGCACAGGAAATTAAACGCTACAGTTAAAGAAACTAACAATAACATCCAAAGGGCACAATATTCCCACTCCATCCCAAATTCTATTCTTCTGAAATGAGATAGTAATTAAAAATAATAATCAATCTGAATTCATGGACTAGACTGATGAAGAATGGATGTTGGCATTTTCTTTTTAAAATTTTAGATGTTTAAAAAGATTCTGTTATGTTGGCATTCTCTTTTTTAAATTTTAGATATTTAAAAAGATTCTTTAACCATGCGTAAATGGTATCCCCATACGTATATTCGTAGGGAAGTATGTTTATGCGTGTGTTTGTGAATAAATGTGTGTGTATATGTGAGAGAGAGGGAGGGGAGGGAGGGGCAGGGAGTGAACGTTTTCATGTGTTTGTACATAGTGAGTGTCCCAGGCATGTGTGTGTTTGGTGGGGGAGGGGGGGGGGGGGGGG